GGGCAAAATCAAGGCAAGAGGGAAAAAAAAAAGAGCTTATCACCCACAATTCGTTAACCGATTCACTCATTTGGATTCATTAGAATGGCCAAGACCCTGCCCTCCTGGAACTGATATTCAAGTGAGAAAAACAGAGAATAAATGAATAGATACACACTATACTTGGGGTGACTCAGAACAGAGACCTGACTGAAGCGAGAAAATCAGGGCAAGGTTACCAGGAAGGGAACAACCACAGCAAGGAGACCAGAATATTCCGGTTGGATTCAGTGAAGGCAGAATTTACATGGGAAGGTAACTGGTGTTAGACCATAAAGCTCTATGCACAAGGGATAGGTCTTTAGATTATTTTTTTTAATAGTGATGCAAAACCATGAAAAAGATGAAAAGAAGGGACCATCATGATCGCCTTGAGGTTTTCTAAAAAAAAATCACCCTTGCTACCATGTAGAGAAGAACCTACCATGTAGAGAAGAACCTACCACGTAGAGAAAGAACCTACAGAGAAGGACAGTGGGAGAGAGGGATGGCTTGAGCTCAAGGCAGGAGAAATGAAGAGCATAAGAGGGGGTTATACCCAGGGGGTGGAGCAAAAGTGATTTGCTGACCCGTTACAAATGTGAAGTCTTTGAAGGATGACTCTTTGGTTTTCATCCTCAGCATGTGTTCAGATTGTGGCACCATTGATCAAATTAGAGTCTTGTAGATGTCAGAATCTGTATCAAATTAACTTTTGTATCTCTAGCCCCCAGAACAGTGGATCCCACATAGGAGTGTAATAAACTTAAATGATCAGCTATTAAATGCAGTGAATTAACACATGCACATATACACAAATACAAATATTTAACTGTCCTACTTCCCTTTGACTTTTGCTAGAGTTTTTCAGTTATTTTAGCTTTTATTCAAATGAAATTTTAATTGGATACCAATATGTAAAACAGACACACTGCAAACATTTATTCATGAACATTTATATTTGAGTTCAATTATGATATTTGCTCATGATAATCAATGAGGCCAAACAGTTCTGACCCATATAGACATTTGAAAAATCAGACGGTATGGATGACAAGTACAATTTTTCATAGGTTCTAATTTCCAATTTATTTCTGTTTTGTTTGGTTGCACCTTATGAATGGTGAAAGTTTTAAATGTGTTGTATGCCAGTTAGTAATGACTTTGGCTACAGGTGAGAAAAGAGTTAAATATTAGAGGCTTAACCATAAGGAAATTCACTCTTGATTAACAAAATTTAGTAATGCAGAAAAATGCATAGTTAGAAATAGTGGTTTAGAAGACTTGAACAAGTATTCCAAAGGTAGACAATACAGAACTAGCTCAACAGTGTTGTAAAGGACCCCAGTCTTTTCCATACTTCCATCTCTAGGCTGTCCTTTCCCCTCTGGGAAGTCACTTAATGGTCACGAGCCATCAAAAAAATAATCAAAAAACTAGGTCAAAGGGTGGCCAGGACAGGAAGAGACCTTCACTTTGTAAGCATGCTCTCCCTGTATCAGGGAAACACCTTTTCCAAAACCCTCCAAGGGAATCTTTTATGTCTAATTTGCCAGACCACATGCTCACTCTGGGACCCAAGCCAAACTACAGCACTTTCTGCCTGATAGCAGAGCAACACCAAGACATAATTTCAAGAGACTTTTCAACAACTAATCTGGGAACCTGAAAGACGAGGGACAGAGCAGGTTGTATGATGTGAAATGAGTGACTGTACATATACAAAGTTGGCCCACCTCCTGCTGCTCTCAGCGGCCAAAGGCAATTTTAGTTGCATCTTTTCTGAAGGTTTCAGAAAGTGGAAGTAAATTGACACAAAGGAAAAAAAAATACTAAAATTTATGCTTTCCTACTTATCTCCTCAGAGTCCCATTTGGCTGCTATTTTCCCAGAATCATCCTCTTTTCCACAAACCCCTTTAAGAACTTGATCCTCTCCAAACTCCTCCCCTCCCATCTTTCCTCACATCCACTCTCCCTGTAATCACTGGCCCACCTCTTGATTTCTCCATTTGCACTACCCTGGCATTACCCTGCTGAGTGTAAAAAGGAATGCAGGCAAACTTATTTCCCCAAAGGTGCAGGAGGGAAAAGGCCATCGCACCCCTGCTTCAGTAGTCTTACCTCTGTCACGTGATCATATTGAACAGCAGCTCCCATCTCCTTTTGTACATATTAGAGTCAGATCAGAAGTGCCCCAAACTTACAATATGGTCCCCAAAGTTACTCATCAGTCAACCATATCAGTATGCAGCATAGGTTAATTTACTGTTCTATTAATAACTCAGCAGCATGATATGAACAGGCTCTGAGCATCTGCATCCATATGACCTCCATAAACTTTAGGGCTGAACTCATTGGTACAATTTTCTGTGATTCGTGAGATGCAGGCTTGAATTTTTTGTAAAAGCTGGTACACACACAGCATAAGCCTGACAACACAAAGACAGTAATCTCCAGTGTTAAATTTGAAATGAAAACTATTTGGTGTGAAGTCCTTTTTTCCCCTTGGTCTATAGTTTTTAGATGAGCTAAACATACATTATTTAGTTCAATTCACCCCATGGTAGGGCAAACATGAGTTATGAACAAATAGCTTTTCATGTTATTTTTCCAAAGACCCCTGCAACTATATAAATGTACTAACCAAGAAAAGTACCATGTTAATATATCAGCAAGAAAGACAAGAACTCCCAACCCTGTCTGTGTACAGTACTTAAAATAAACCTAAGCAATTCAGTCTATGGATTTCATGCTGCCACGTCCTCTATAACAGGGATGTTGACTCCTTCCCATTGGAAGAACTTTTAAAATGTATAAATTCAGCCAAAAAAGAAGACCCTTTGCTTGAAATGGAAAGAACCATGACTCAAAGCAGTGGAAGATCCCATTCTCTACCTTGCACAGGCTATTTTGAAAAAACGGACTTCCAGGGATTGTGCCTGTACACCTAGAGGGCAAAGACGGAATCGCTTGTTCTCCTCCGACATGGATGAGATGACTTACTAATAATAATCAGGCCAATAATGAAGCATTAGTTGAACAACATGAGAGTCTCATTTCCAGTTCAATTTTCAGCATCAGGAGTTCAAATTATGGAGCATTCCCTTCAATGAAATTGAAAACTGAAAGACTACCTTGATTGCAAACCAACCAGAACTGAAATTTTTCTGTCTTGAAAATCCTTTAGGAATACTTTATGCACTTCTGACTTGAAATAATGACTTCATTTCAAAATAAAACAGCTATGGATCTGAAGGTTGGCTTGCCTTTTTAATGACTGTGGGTTTTCTCAATCCAAGGCAGGAAAATTGGTTTGGCGTTAATCATTGACTCAGAGGACGTAACCAGTGTCTTGGCCACTGTCCTGCCCCATTCTTTGATACGGATAGCTAATAGCAAAAGTCCTTTGCAATGGCAGGTCCAATGGAGACCTGCTGCAGCCCTTCAGCCCCTCCTACAGAGAAATTCAGGAGCTCGGTGTCTAGTCCTGCCTTGCGCTCAGCTTTCTTAGCTGAGCTACTTGACGTCTCTCATAAGTCAGGTCTCTATAGTGCACTGGTTCTTTAGGCAGGGGACATGATCATGAACTTTGTCTCAAACTCTATAGCTGGTTTTGCTTCTCCTGCCCCCAACATTCTACTCTCATCTATAGTTACCTGAGTCATGAATATCCATATCCCAAGACCTAGCAGTATCAAGTTCATGCAGGTATTTTCATACTGTATGAAAGTAAGTGGTTCCCCCACCACCACGTTTAGAATCATACATTCTGATGACTAAGATTGGTCACTAGAGTATGCCTTCGCTCATGCTTTGGTTCTTAGTCTAATGCCTCATTCATTTAATTTTCTGAGTATGAGTTCTTAACACATCAAAGAGCTGCTAAAATACAATATGGTTTTAACAGATAGCATGCTTTAGGGAGCAAATAAGAAAAATCCTAACTCAAGTGATTTTGACAAAGAGCAAAAAATTTTAAGCCCCATAACTAGAAGACTGGGGATAGATTAAAACATTATTTTTTTAACTCCCTCATTTTTTTGAGGACTCAAGATTTCTTCCTTGTCTTGACTCTGCTTAATTCAGCAAATCAACTTGTAAGTCTCCTCCTGGTCACAAGATGGCTACAAAAGTTCCAGATGTCCCCACCCGACTTCACAACATCCAGCAACAATAACAGCAGGAGAGAAACTGTTACCTTGTTCACAGCCCCCAATTCACTTTATCAGTCAGAAAACCTTTCATAGGAACTCCAGAGGTCATACCCCATCCCCTCTTATTGCCTAGAATTGCACCACATTCCCACACTTCAACCAGTCACTGGCAAATAAGAAATGAAACCACCTAATTATTTTAAGGTCAATCTTTATTGCTCTGGGCTGAGGTTATAGCACACCTTTTCTAAAAAAGGGGGGGGTGGGGCAAAAATAAGCAAAATTAAAAAATGAAGAAAGTTAAACATTTAAAACAAAAAAAAAGGGAAAATTCAGNTCAACCAGTCACTGGCAAATAAGAAATGAAACCACCTAATTATTTTAAGGTCAATCTTTATTGCTCTGGGCTGAGGTTATAGCACACCTTTTCTAAAAAAGGGGGGGGTGGGGCAAAAATAAGCAAAATTAAAAAATGAAGAAAGTTAAACATTTAAAACAAAAAAAAAGGGAAAATTCAGACCAACTAAGTATGCTAAAAGTGATACTGGATACTGGAGACTGAAATGTAAATAAAAGCACATTTACAATTACTATATACCCAAAGCTACTATTTAATATGGTCAGATGTACTAAGAACCAACTTCACAGTAAGGGCAGAAATGTCAACAGAGCCATAAGAAATTTACTTACTACCCTCGATAAGCAGGATAAACAGTAGTAAAATTTTTATTGAGTAGCATAGACACCTCCATGTTTTAAGGTATCCTGCCTGAAAGGTTTTTGAAATCAGAGTGATTATTTCTCATCTAACATAAAATCGACTTACCATATAGGACACTGGATGCAGTTTATCTTCATTGTCAAGAGGTCTATAAATGCACTTGTATGACCTAATGAGAAAAATCAATACATAAATACTCATTCTATGATTTTAATACTTATTCTACAGCTACAGTAATTAAAACAGTGTGCTATGAGAATTAAGGTAAGTACATAGATCAATGGAACTAAACAGAAACTCCTGGACAGATCTATACATAAATGACTCATTGATTCTCAACAGACAATGCAAAGTAATCAAATGGAGAAAGAAAGGTTTCTTTTCAACAAACAGGGTTTGAACAACCAGATAAAAATGAAACTTGATCCTCACCTCACATTATACGTAAAAATTATTTTGACACAGATCACAGTTACAAACATTTTAAAAAAAAAAGCTTCTTTAAGGACATAAGAAACGACTTTATGACCTAAGAGGCAAAGATTTCTTAGGACACACATTTCAAGAAAAGCTTGCACAAAAATACTGATAGCAGTCTTCTTCATCAGTAACTTCAAGCTGGAAATAACCCAAATATCCAACAACAGGGAAAGGAAAAAAAATTATATTCATAAAAAAAAAATTAACCACCAGTGCATTCAACAATTTGGATGAATATCAAAAGCATAATGATGAATGAAGCCAGCCACAAGAGTACATAGGCTTTGTTATTCTATTTCTATTTTAATTCTATTCTATTCAAGGACAAGTGAAGCTAACCTGATGTGCTGCAATTAAGAACAGTTGGTACACACTACTAATGTATATAAAATAGATAAACAACAGGAACCTACTGTATAGCACAGGGAACTGTATTATCTTGCAATAACCTATAATGAAAGAGAATCTCCAAAAGAATATATATATATATGTGTGTATAACTGAATCACTTTGCTGAAATACTGTAAATCAACAATATTTCAACAATTAGAAAAAAAGAGTAGTTAGCTTCCTCTGGGTAGAAGAGGTGGACAATTCACTGGGAAGAAGCACAAGTGGTGAAGGAAATTATATCTTGACTGGAGTTACAATTACTTGAATGTATACATGTAGCAAAACTCACGGAATTGTACACTTAATATCTGTGTGGAGGATTTTTTGGTAAATTATTTCTGAATAAAAAATAATGCACAATTGCATGAATATGTGAGTGCTGAATTATAAATTGAATTTTTATTTTATGTCTATTTTAAGATCTCTAAAACTGTGACATGTTTTAATTGCAGTCTAAAGAAATTTTCCAGCCATTTAGCAGTGAATTCTTTAAGAATAATATCAATATTTATTTATTTAGCAAAAATTTTACTGAAGTATAAAATATATGCAGAGATCTTAAGTGTACATCTTGATAATTTTTTATAAAATAAATAATCCTATATAACTACCTCTGAGCTCAAAATATAAAACATTACCAGCACCATGGAAGCTTCCCACTGCCCCCTCATTACTATGTAGTGTTCCAACGAGTGAATACACCACAGTTGATTCTGATATTAGTTTCTGGTGGTTTCAAATAAAACTGTCAGGAACATTCTTGTATACTTTTGATGCGCATACGCATTTGTTTATGGGTCATAAGGTAGGCGTATGTTCACCTTTCCTAGGTACTATCTAAGAGTTTTCTAAAATGGTTATGTCAGTTTGCATTCTCACCAACAATATGTTAAGAGTCCTTGCCAAAAACCGATGCTGTCAGATTTGTGTTTAGCTTTTGTTTGGCTGCTTGGTTTGTTTCCATTGTGCTTGAGTTGAGGGTGGAGGCAGGGGTAAGGGAGCGGGAGTAGAACTCATTTTTGCTTTTTCTTTTTTTAATGTTTTGTTGGTATCTTATTATTGTTTTAACCTACAGTTCAATTTTAACTTAAGCCTGGATCATTAATTATTAATGATTTAAATTAAATTTAAATCAGGGGTCCCCAACCTCTGGGATCTAATGCCTGATGATCAGAGGTGGAGCTGATATAAACAAAATGCACAATAAATACAATACACCTGAATCACCCTGAAACCATCCCCTCTTCCTCTGTGGTCCATTAAAATAAATATTGTCTTCCATGAAACTGGTCCCTGGTGCCAAAAATGTTGAGGACTATTGCTTTAAGTATCTTCAAAAAGATTACAAGATAAAGTGACTTTATATGTTACAAGCAAAGAAACAGCATAGCAGGGGATGTGGAAATGTCATAATTTAGTGTTTTTCTTATAAAGCAACAACCCAATAACTAAGTGCCATGAATGACTTATGAAGGGGTTAATGGAGACGCACTTGCCATTGACCAAACACACAAGAGGGAAAGCTGTTAGGGAAAGACTGCTAGGCCCAATCCCAGATGATGCAACCAAAAGCAGTAGAATTTGCCAAGTCTTCACGGTCCCCATGAAATAGATAATCACTTCCTGGTGTATAGATGAGGAAACTGAGTAATTAGCAAAAGAATCCATACTCAGATGGGTGCAATTCTACCTGTGCTCTTTCCATATATGTTAAACAGACGTAAAAGAAGTAAAGAAAAAAAGTCATGACCTTTGCCCATATTAATCATCATAATCTGTAATTCTCAGAACCACGATCTTAGTAGCACAGCCCTCGGCATAACATTCTGTGCATCCAAGCAAAGCAGAGATGAATCCCCGCTTTCCTGTGAGAAAACTGAGAGGCTAATGGATCATTGTGATCACAGAGCTGGTTAGAGAAGCAGAACCAGGGACAGGATCAGAACCCCCCACTCTCAAGGGCAGATCAATATGCTTCATTGCCATAGGAGAAATTAGCCAAGCACACTGATCTTCCATCACCAGTGTCTGTCCTCAAGCTTGAGCTACAGGCAGAGTGTGGGTTGGGGGATGCAAGGATTTCTTGGCCTCCTCCCCAGCCCTCATTCCATTCTCTTTTCTCAGACAGCTAGCACAAAATAACCTGAAAAAGAACATTCACTCTCGGGACTAGGTGTTTCAACTGATTTCTCCTCTCCTAAAGTGTCACCAAGGATATCAAATTCTATTTAATGAAGGACTGAATAAATATTTTAGAGGTGATGGTCTTCTCAAGGCACAAAACCAATGTGTTAGTTAGGCCTAGAGATTAAAATATCCAGCAATCATAGGAAATACCTTGCCCTGAAAGGGCATCTCCATTTAGAGCTAAGAGTCTCTTTGAATTATATCATTCACGATAAGGATAAAGACTTCCCAGCCCACTGACTCACAAAGATGTGTTTAACTAGCCTAATTATGCCTGAAGTGGCAAATTGCCCTTACAAGAAAGCTAATGCTTTTCGCCAACGTATCAATGATCCAACTGTTCCTTTGTCTTCATAATGATTGGGTTAACAAGGCAGGAAACACCTCTAAAAATCAAGTTTGTGTACATCGTGATTCATTTTGGCTGTCTGAGAAACCATTTTCTCAACCAAGGGGGAACGTCCCAGCAACTCGGACAGCTGGCAAAACACAATACATGTTTCAGAGGCATGATTTAAAAATGATAGACAAAGAATTTGTTTCCATTGGGTGATAATCTCAGCAGATAAATAAGTCTCCAAGCCACAAGCAACACTGGGAAAATAATGAGATTCTGGCTGGAGCTTGCTTGCCACTAAACAGTGGTCCCCAGCTGGTGGGAAAGACCTCCCTGACCAGCAAAGGATCTCGGCAGTAGCCCACCAGCCGTGTGGAAGAGGAAGGTGCCTTTTCTAAGGCTAAATCAATCCCACTGGTGGGTAAACAGAGGCATCTGCGTGCTAAATGCTTCAGTCATGTCCAAATCTTCACCACCCTATGGACTGTAGCCCACCGGGTTCCTCTGTCCATGGGATTCTCCAGGCAAGAATACTGGAGTGGGTTGCCAGGACCTCTTCTAGGCGATCTTACAAACCCTCATCACTTATGTCTCCTGCATTGGCAGGTGGGTTCTTTATCTCTAGCACACCTTGGAAGTCCCTTTTAAAGGTTACGATTACTAAAAGGTAATAGATGGTGAAGTTAGAGGAAGCTGTGAGAGAAACTGTGAGACCACTGAATTTTCTTCAGTGTCTCCAACTTTTGCTCTAAAATAGACTCTGGGAGGAATCATTTTGTAAAGTAAAGAATTCACCTGTTATATAAATAGCTCTCCGCTTATCTTTTATGCTTTATATGTTTGGATTTTCATATATTGACTTTTTACATAAGGCTACATTTCAGAAAATGGAAGAAAAAATCATTATGTGTAGATGGGGGAGTCAATAAAAGTCAAGGAAATGTGCATCAAATTATTCAGAAGCACTCCCTTTGATAATTCCCTTTTCAATTCATCAGAGAAAATATTCTCTCCATTGAGAGGAGAAGAAGGATCCTGTTGGAAAACAGTGAAATACAGAATGACTTCTGGGAGAATGTGGATCTTCATTGAGTTTGGAAGTGAAAGTGAAAGTTAAGTCCCTCAGTTGTGTCTGACTCTTTGCGACCCCGTGGACTGTAGCCCACCAGGCTCCTCTGTCCATGGGATTCTCCAGGCAAGAATACTGGAGTGGGTTGCCATTTCCTTCTCCAGGGGATCTTCCCGACCCAGGGATCGAACCCAGGTCTCCTGCATTGCAGGCAGACCCTTTAACCTCTGAGCCACCAGGGAACAGACATTCAAATCTTCTAAAATGATTAGTGCATTGGTGAGATTTATAAAGCTGAAAGAACTTTTGTGAATACTAATATCATAGGCTGCTTCTCAAAAAATCATTTTCAAATAAATAAAAGCTTAATTTAACTCCCATACTAGAGTCAAAAGCATATCTGCATAGAAGAGACTAGGAGAAATTCTATAGTAAAGAAACCTGTTAACAATGTTTCACATACCATTTCCCAAACATTCAATCATGAAACCGTTTTTGCTTATAATACATAGCAACTCCTCAAGTGTAACACTCTTTGAAAAATACAGTTTTAGTTAAGAAAATATTGAAACTGTCCAACTTCCTCATTTACTTGGTGGGTGGGGGAAAAACAACCACAGTGGAGAAAAGGTAGTCTTTTCCAGTAAGTGGTGTTGGAAAAACTTGACAGCTACATGTAAAACAATGAAACCGGAGCATTCTTTAACACCATATACAAAAATAAAGTCAAAAATTTATTAAAGACTTAAATGTACCAGAAACCATAAAGCTACTAGAAAAAACCATAGAATATTCTTTGACATAAATCATAACAATATGTTTTAATCTGTATCCTGAAGCAAGGGAAATAAAAGCAAAAATAAACAACTGGTACATAGTTAAACTTAAAAACATTTGTACATCAAAGAAAATAATTGATAAAATGAAAAGACAACCTACTGAGTGTAAGAAAACATTTACAAATCATATGATGAAGAAGGGGTTAACATCCAAAATATATCAAGAGGTCATTCATACAACTCAAAAGTCAAAAAAAAAGCAATCCAATCAAAAAATGGGAAAAGACTTGAATAAACATTTTTCCAAAGAAGACACACAGATGGCCAACAGGAAGTTGAAAAGATGCTCAACATCACTAATCATCATCAGAGAGATGTAAATTAAAACCACAATGAAGTGTCACCTCACACCTATTAGATTCAGTCAGTTCAGTTGCTAGTTGTGTCCGACTCTTTGCAACGCCATGGACTGCAGCACGCCAGGCTTCCCTGTCTATCACCAACTTCCAGAACTTACTCAAACTCATGCCCATTGAGTTGATGATACCATCCAACCATCTCATCCTCTGTCATCCCCTTCTCCTCCCACCTTCAACATTTCCCAGCATCAGGGTTTTTTCCAGTGAGTCAGTTCTTCGCATCAGGTGG